AAGAATTAATAAATGAACTGCAAACAATTTATAGTGTTCAAAAAGCCATCTTCGCCACCCTATTAAAGATGTACGATGAAGTTGATCCGTACATTTTTTATAATCGAATACGACATTTTCTAGCTGGTTGGAAAGGGAACCCTTTGTTACCCGATGGTATGCTTTATGAAGGTGTCAGTGAGACGCGACAATTCTTACACGGTGCATCAGCAGCTCAATCTTCATTGATAGCAGCGTTCGATGTTTTCTTCGATGTTAAACATGACAGAGAACAGACACGTGAATTTATTAGTGAAATGCGTTTTTACATGCCACCGAAGCATCGTCAATTTCTAGAAATGTTAGGTGCCGATAATTGCAATATAAGTGGTTTTGTGAAGAAGCTAACATCATTTGAAGAAGAACAACATGAAAGTGAACTTCTTTGTGCTTACAATGCTTGCATTGATCAACTGATAGAATTCAGAAACAAACATATACAAATTGTAGCACTCTATATTTTAGCACAGATACGGAAGAACGATGATGATGCTCAGTTAGAATCCAAGAAAGCAGGTGAAACAACATCGTCAGCTCGCGGTACTGGCGGTACAATATTGATGCCTTTTCTGAAGACATGTCGAGATGAGACAATCGTACAACGGCTCAATTAATCGACAAAACTATATCTTTTTTCAAACCTGTATTGTTCATGACTCTGCGTCGTTTTTTTTTAACAAGTTCAATTTTTACAGAAGATGTATGCGATTGTAGTAGCAATTCTATGTAGAAACATTTCATTGCTCAATTGTCTCAAGAACGTTGCTTACTTGAGTGAGATGTGACTGAATTCCATGAATTCTGAACTCCGGGAACTCTTGTAAATTCACTCTCCCTCTGTAACTTACCAATATTAACGAACTCGTGAAACTCGAGAAACATGAGCATCCATATCTTCAATGCTTATCTCGAGTTGAAGCCGTTCTTCACCAGTTCTTTTCCCTTTTGCGAACATGATACAAAAGGAAGGTATCTGGGTATCCGTTTCTGTGCGCGAAAGACAACGAAACCAGTAAGAGTCAGTCAACTGGCTCGAACTCTGATAAGATTCACACCTAGATGTGCACCTGCCCAATATAGATTTCAAAAATATACGCATACTCCCGCTCACGTCAGCTAGATCGACACGAACGACTAAGACACACTGACTAAGAAAAGGATACTCACACCCACATCCAAAATGCTAAAACTGCCCATTATCTCTTTACCAAATAAAAGGTGAAACAATACAATATCTCACAGAATTAGTCCAACAAATAAATGAAATGATAAGAACAAAGTAAATTTTAATGAATATCGGAAATTACATCAATGGTAAAGTTAGCAGTATAGTTCATATACTTCACATTGCCATCCTTATCGAAAGATAGAGGTGACCAGTAGGTAAAGTCATGTCCTTTAGCACCATCTGGAGAACTTTGCCACCGATTACCTTGCCACAAGTATCCATAATCTTCATCTCCAGTAGTTTTAAACTGTAGAATGTTGTACTGTTGAGCATGACCTTCGTTCCCTAAATTATTCATTGTTACAAAAGGGCCGATGGGAGACGAAGAATTATAGACAGTGACAGATGATCCTTCTGCACAGTAACAACAACACTGGCCAAACACTGCATAGTAGATTCCATTGCGTTTGAACATTGCCGGAGCTTCGACGAAAGTCTCACCAAAATATCCACTGTTAAACTCTTTACCTAGTGAACTAAGATAGTCATCGGACAGTTTCTCCACAGACATTAAATGGCTAGGATTGTAAACACTACCATCAATATGCGAAGTATAAATGATATAAGCATCTCCGTTATTGTCTTGAAAGAGATTCAAATCTCCTGTATTTTCCCATGCTAGAGTACTCACCTTATCAGTGACGAGTTCAAAGGGACCTTGTGGTGTATCGGATACGGCCACAGCATACTGCGACTCAGAGACACCTGTACCTGTAGCGGGCAGAAAATTAAACCACATAACCCACTTCTTTGTCTTCGGATTGGGTAAAACACGAGGGCAGAACATTATTCCTTGAGTCTTCATCGAAGACATTTGAAAGGCATATCCACGAAATGTCCACGTGACAAGATCAGTCGAAGTATATAGACTTATATTATGATTGAGTTGGAAACCGCATCCACCTGGATACCATACGGTACAGCCTGATGGACCTGGGGGTTCTTTGCATAGGCCGTAACTTGCACCATAGTAGTAATAGAGATCTTCATACAAAAAAACACTACCATCATGAGCATCCATTATATTTCCATCTGTATCTCGACGAGGAATTACATTACTAATCGTCACTTCACGACATTTGATGACGCTGACTACTGCAGTCGAAAGCATAATGACGACAAAGAGATTGGTGAGCATTATTATGCTGCTAAATATGAAAAAAAAATGAAAAGAAAATTATGATTTCTTGTAATAATCACGCAGTAGCGTGAGTATCTTTGGACGATTTCTCAGTCTCTATTAATGACTATCCATGAAACAGTAGCTTCGTCACAACTCGATAAAATTCCTTTTTGTTAGTCTCAGCGAATTGATTTCTACTTGTTGTTTTAGATCGGGCAGAATGCTTCAAACTTACTTATGATGAACTTTACCGCATTTCTTTCTTACCTATAGTATTCACTAATTTAATAATTACTGACTCTTAAACGAAGAATGTAATGCTTCAAACTTTTATACGTTTGACGATGAATGTGAAAACTAAGACGTTTTTTCACTTCGCACCGCCTCTTCTGTTTCTTTTTTCTCAAGTTATCATTCAGCTGTTATCGTGTTAAACAAAAGTAAGACAAATAAATTATTAGACAATGTCTTATCTTAGAGAAGAAAAAGAATAAGAAGAATAAATAATTCTTTATGTTTACACCAATAATGATAAGACTTTCGATCCACAAGAGATCGTAGAGGGGAAAGAGCGAGTTAGTCTAGTTTTCGTACATAGTTTTTGATTATTGATACTCTTGCATACAAACCCAAATATAAGTATTCTTATCTTGTCTAAAGTGTTTTTCGTTCTGAAATGAAAATATTCCTCCACAAGTTTGCTCACTAAACACCACGGTCTGACAGTATTGTTGATGAGTGAGTATTTTTGAGACTTTTTCTTGATTCGAATGATTGATGTTGTTGTTTTCGTCGATGACGGAGATGTACTGCTACGAATTGACTACCAGCAGGAAAGTAATGAAAATTAGAAACGACTAAGTTCAGTTCTCTTCCAAGTCAAGCTAGGTACAACGAATTTCGTTGGGCGAGTTCGGAACCGAATGCTACGTGGTGATCGAAACTGATTTAGTTACTTTCCAACATATTCAGATTATTTACACTGTTTTTCATTGATATCCTCATACCGGCTTTACTCAGTTTCGATCGGATATGTAAAGTTGGAAACGATCAGATCCAGACGATAACATGGATGCATGTGTGTATCCATCGTTCATCTCCACCTACATCCACACAGTGCGATACGATTTTCACCCGACGGTTACGTAATGAATTGAAAAAACAGAGTTTCAGAATACTTTATAATTATTTTTATTTTTTTTTCTAATTTGTATTGATGAAATCATGAGCGAAACAGCTGTGACAACTAGTTTCAACGGCTTTATGTACACAGAAAAAAAATCAAATTATGCGCCCAACACTTGTAGTGAGACAAAACAGAAAGAATTATTCTTCATTCACTGCATACTTCAATTTGTAATGCTTCGCTCGATGTAATTTCAGTCTAATCTAAGAAATCTAACAATTCGTTTAATTGTGTTGCTCAGAACATCGAATTTGATCCTTATTTCGAATCGCGGTATCTAAACTTAGCATATGGAATGAAGATGTAATTTCATCCCCACAGAAGACCAATGAAAAAGACAATGAATGGAAAATGCAAGAAAAATTAGGATTTCACAGTTAGTATATATTATTCTCTTTTTTTTTGTAAATCTGCTCATATTTTTTTAATTGTTAGTTTCAGCTGTTGATATGAATGGCGACTTTCTCTAGTGATGGCTCGTGCTGGAGCGCTACTGGCAGGAATTGGTCTGGCGGTAGTGCTTACATTCTATTTGCAAGACCAATCCAATCAAAGTAAATATACTTTTTATTGTACGAATGAATTTGTGTTTTCGCTACTGTCATCGAGCTAGATTACCATTTCTGACGCTAATGCTAGGTAGAAGATGTGAGTAGCAGAAGAATTACATCGAGTGCGTATTGCTGATCAGCTAAGAAATCGTAGAAAATTATGCTGTTAATAGAGAGAAATATTGAATTTCTAGGACGAACAACAAATGAAACAGTAATTGATCAGATACATTAACTTCTATCGAAAACATGAAGAAAATTTAACAAAACTTTCGAATCCCTGGTACGATTAGCAAAAAAATACGGAGATAATAGGTAGATGCCTGATTTGAGGAAAAACAGAAATGCAAATTCGGACAAGAAGAAAATTGGAACCATCGAAAGACAAAGTAAAAATAATTGTTCGAATTATAGATTACAGTTGAGATCTGACTATCCTATAACTACGTCAGAAAGGCAAAAACTTCTATTCAGTATTTTCACCTCAACACTCGAGATACTAGTGATACCATATACGAAATTAAATTAATAGGGTGTGAGTGTGAGTGTGAACCTTTATGTACCCCATATCGACATCCATACCCACACCCACACCCCACCCATTTGTTAGACTTTTTCAAAGACATTGTTGCACCCTTTATTCGTGATAATACGACGATCGCTACATTGTCGAACTGCTGAGTCCGCCATTAGTTCTAAAATGATATGTCATCATGGTGTTTGTGCATAAATACGATTGAAGAACCATTTGTTCGAGATCTCGTTATCAATGCTAATCATAACAACTGTCACTTAACGTAAAAAATACAAACATACTCAGAATCTTTAAGAAAATGAGATATTCTATCTAAATAAATTATTATATTTAAACGATTACGAGCGTTTTACAATTTTCACATAGACACCTTTTGGATGCAGAATAAAAGATGTATCTTTTAGTTCGAATTTTTCTTCCATTTGATCACCGGGATGAATCGAATATTGTCGAAGTAGACGTGCCAAACACATTTTGATTTCCATCAAAGCAAATCGTTTCCCAATACAATTACGAGGACCTAGACCAAATGGTATAAAAGCAGCAGGATGTCTTGGAGTTGAGTGTCGTTCAGGTAAGAATATGTTTGGATCTTCGGGACCCCATAAATCCGGATCATAATGAATAGACAATACATCCGGTTGAATGACACTGCCTTTAAATAATGTAAAAATATGAATAAAGTAGATTTTACTTATAAACATCTGACCTTCATCTATTGTATGACCACAAACGACGGTAGTAGTATTGCATTCTCTCGTCGTGGCTTGAGGTGCACCAGGAAACATTCGTAAAACTTCACGTATGAACCAATCGAGATAGATCATATTGTGAACTTGATCATATTCATTCTTGTTCTCATCATAATTATCTATTTCATCTTGAAGTTTCTTTTGAACGAGAGGCTCTTTAGCCAAAACGTATGTACTATAAGCAAGTGTTGTTGCTGTTGTTTCATAGCCAGCAACCATGAACGTTAACATATTATGATTTACCTCGTCATAATGAATGAATTTCGACATGACAGAAAAATCAGTATGATCCTAAAATATTCGATTGTTATTGTTGTGATTAGATTGATAGACTAACCATGATTTCATCTCGTGTGGCAACATCAAGCATCAATTGAAGAAGATCGACTCGTCGTTTCTCACCTTCTTTGTCAATAGATGATGTGCGTACATCGATTAAATATTTGAGACGTTGCATAAGCCAGAATCGGGGCATCTCTTCAATATTTCGTGTGAATTTGTTTGCGAAACGTTCTAGTAATATTTGTCTAGTCATTATATAACCAAGTAACGGAATAAGCGACGGCATTAGTTGACTTAGTCGGACCAAAGGGTTTTTTTCGAGATTGTATGCCACAGTTTCCTCGGCTTTCTTAAAATATTCATTATCAATATCGTTCTGTATGTCTGTATCGATACCGAACACACAATGACCTTTTCAAAATTCAAATAGAAATGAAGAAGAATCTTTTTCGCGTACTTTCAAATTATACTCACAGATCACGTCCATCGTTAATCGTTTGTAGAGTATGTAAATATCTAATTGTTCTTCTTTTTCGCAATATTCTGCTATTTTTTTCATTAAAGAATCAACGCAATCGTGAGTCATAGATGCCATCAATTTGAGTTTCATTGATGTAAATGCTGGATTAATAACTTGTCGTTGACGATGCCAAGTGATTCCAGTGGCACCGAATAGACTAGGTTTGTTTTTGCTTCCTGCTCGAAGAACGAATGGTAGATGTCGTGAATGAAATGATGAAAATTGTTTAATGAATACTTCTTGAAGAAAATCAGCATTGGAAACAATGTATACTGGACGAGTGCCTTCGTATAAGCCATAAATTGATCCAAATTGACGAGTCCATTTTTGCCATTGATGAGGTCTTAGAGAAGTTGACCAAATAGTTTTGCAATGGCCGAAGAAAAAGCAAAACGGAGGGCAACGAATACCGCGTCGTTCAAAATAAGAATAACGAGCTTTAATCGTCCATAAATATACGATTATTAATGTTACCAAACAGACAAGAAGAGTAGCAAGTACGAACATTTTGTTCGAGATAAAGAAAATAGAAAAATGATTTTTTATTAAACGCTTGTTTTATGGCGTGGTCTTTTATCAGCTATTTTTATCATGCTTGACAAGGGCACATTTTTTTTTGTTTTCTTTACTTGCAATAATAATGCGCAAGATTTTAATAGAGAATGGTGATAGTCCTTTGCCATAACATACAAATGTTTTGATGATAAGAATACAAACAGCAAAATATGGTCGTAAAAACCAATAATTGACAGAATGTAGAGAGAAGTATCTGATTAAGCGAGAAAAGGAGAAACATGTATGAAGCATGCCAGCAACAATCACAAATGACAACGAATATTGTTTTGGTCATAAAAATGTCAAAAGGCAAAATATCAAAGCGAAAAATATTAAAAACCATATCATAGTGAAATACCTGTCGAAATATGCTTGAGAAAGTTTGAACTAGGAGGACAAATTTTTCTTTGTATAGTAGAATACTAATATTCGAGCGGAGATCATACAAAGTTCAAAAAATGAAAAGATAGAAAAGCAATAATTATCCCATTTTTATCATTTATCAAGTAAAAATGAAGAAATATCTAAATGTTTCATTTGATTTTATAAGATCACCATAATATTGTTTGTCAAGGAAGTGTGAGTCTGCCATTCACGCAAAAATTTATCCACATCCTCATTTCTTTTTCATTCTAGTCTTTACCAATGAAGATTTTCCAAACAAGTTTGATTACATGAAAATTTGAATATCTCTAGTGGATCAAAGTGGTTGCCTATTAGAGTTCGATTTTTCTCTGTATACTTGAGAGGTTTGGGTTTGGACGAGTTAACAGAAGACCAATACCTACACCCACATTTACACCCGCACCGCACCCATACATCACACCCACAAAGTCAGCGAGCCCATTCACTTCAATACTTGTGTATCTGAAACGAATTAAAGCGAGAAGTCTTCAAGAGATATATCAGATGTTAACGCAGAGAGTCGACGGTGAGATGATCTTTTTACTGTGCAACTCGTTTTATCTTTTCCTGTGATCTGTCCTAGTCATATATCATATTTTTTTTGCGTATCCCATCGTCTCTTGACTATGTCTCACCTAATTCTCATTTTCTCTGCCATACTATTTGAACTGTAGAAAATATCATTTTTTCATAAAATAGAGATCATCCGATTGTTATTTAGAAAATGTATGCAAGTTTTGGAACAAGACTCTGGGCAAATCTTATATAGTAACACGAATATATCATCTATTTATGAGGATGTGGGTGTCGGTGGGTGTGGGCGAGTTAACAGAAGATCGATACTCCCATTGATATCTCCTTTGATGGTGACTACTACATGGCAATTAGAGATGACTCAATAGTAAACGAAATATCTGAAAACATTAGTCCGGCAAATCAAGACATAATATCTAATAATGCAACAAACTATTACGAGGGTGTGGGTATCGGTCTTCTGGTAACTTGCCCACACCCACACTCTTTCCTTATCAAAAATTCGATGTTTTCGTTAGAGGTTATGGTTCTCTAGTTGCTAAGTTCCAGTAAGATAAACATAGTTGTCTAAATAGTAGATGCATTTGGCATATAAATTACAGTGAGCGGAAATGTTGGAGACAAGATCTTAACAATAGTGATGATCGTAGTAAAACATGTCGTCAATTTTGAAGCATATTGAACATAGAAAATGATTTTTATTGCAACGACACAGTTGCTAAATGTAGGAGTATATAGTATTGCTCTTTTTCTTTCGAGATTAGTTTTACGGTATACAGCCAAGATCTGCGTTTGCTCGATCATCTCAAGAATAGTACTCGAGAATTTTCGTCAGAAAATACTAGGAACTCTAAGAGAGAAATTTAGTGACGCTTAGTTTTACTTTCAGTTGGAGTTGGCTGTAACCTAACAGAGCTGGTCACCAGAACATTGTTTCTAAGCTCCTACTATTTTGTATGCATTTTCTGTTAGAACCGGCTCATCCTGCTTTATCTGAATATGTATAATTCGCCTTCCTCATATACACGTTATGCGCCATGGTGAGAAAGCTTTTATTTTCCTCTTCATTCTATCGAATTCATTGAAGCTTCTGAGTCACACATATATAATAGAAAGCGAGATCGTACGATGATCACAATAGTCAATATTATGATCTCTAGCCTATCACGACTCCAAGTGTTCGGACTATGATGCCTGTCTTTGCTATCCATTGAACCTATTCTTTTGTAATGTTGAAGATTATTTAAAAACATTTCTTTATTCAGTCTATAAAATACCATGCATTAATTCATCGAAATGAATATTGTACGAAGAAAGAACAGAAAAAAAGCCACGGCTTACTTCTGCATATCCTATGTAGCACGATAAACTTGTTAAACATATGATTTGAACATTCGCAATTTTGAAATAGGTTTGTTTATTTGGAAGGTGGCGGCAGTAGCTGGAATCCTGGGTCCGGTAATTATGGTGTAGGAAGCTGTGCGGATGAAGAATGCCGACGTCGTGCAATTATTATTATCTGCAGTGTATTAGATGGTATTACCGTACTTCCATGCCTCTTAATTGGTTGTGTCATCTTCTGCCTGCTCAAAGAAAAATAAGTATACAGTTCTTTGTGGTGTTTTTGATTGCTGTTGCAATCAAATTCTCAGTTCTTTTTTAATGACCTAATCAATTTTTTTCGACATGATCTTGTCAATTGCTGTTATACGATCCGGTGTTGTGATTCTCACTAAAGAATGCCACGCCAATCGAAAGTATCTGTCACTACGCTGGATCCATTTCCATGCACGACGGAGCTCGCAACTATAGACCGAAAACTCATTTCAACACCGCGTCCAGAACTTCCTGCTATTGCACACTTCGAATTTCCTTCCATTTCAAATACTAGATCTTCTTCCACTTCATCGATTAGACTTCCTCCGATTCCACATTCTAAAAAATCGACAACAAACGTATTTCAGTCAGATTTTTATAATATGCGTTATTATCAATATTTTAAGTGGCATGGAACTTTTGTTACTCAATTCGAATTCAATAATAGAAATGTTCAAGGTAATGGTACAGACGATGTCAGTTCATTTGGTGTTACAGAAAACTATTCAACGAATGACAATCGTATGATTTTAACGAAACAATATAAACGTGCAAATGACGATCCTTATGAAAATCTCGAAAATCAAGTTAAAATTGATTTGAAACAGAATGATCAAACACAACAGTTTGATAGCCAATAGATTGTCAAAAGAGCAAATTATTCTGGTCAAGATAAATTCGAATTAAAATTAAGACAACCCATAGAATCAGTGTAACATGAGATTTTAATGGATCAAAGCAAAAATTTGATGTGTTATAATATAATAAGACCATATTTTGTATCATCATAACTATGAAGTTTAGTTATAATCAACTAATCTTCACTTTTTTCCGAGAAAAAAGATATCACTCCATTACAACAAATGTTTTACAATGTTCTCAAAATGTTTTTCTCGGATGATTTTCAAATCAGAAAAATTCTAAAATGTCTATAAATATAATCTAACAACATTTCATTAATGATTTAAGCCTAGTTACAGTTTCTTGATAGTAAGAAATATACACATCTGAATGTAAAGGACCATCAATAGTTAATTATTGACCTAACTTCAAATTCTTTTGAGATTCATTAAAATGTGTTACTTGAAAAGTAGTTTCCATTGATTGTTAATAAAAATGATGCACCATCTTGAGTGTTATTTGATTTCTTTTTTCAATTACATCTATTACTCTACAAACATCATGCATTGTTGTATATACTGAACTGGAAGCATAAATATATAATCCTAATTTCAGCTAAAAAATAATATCTACTACTGTTATGATCGTTAGGAAAAAATAAATCTGTTTTCGGTATATCGTCTTACCGATAGGATGTTCTTAAGGTGGATACATATGTTTAGTTCGATGAACTCTTTCATAAAAATATATAAATTCATTCAATATTTAAAATGAATTAAAACAATGCATGTCATTTATTATTGATTCGTTGGTAATTGTTACCCTGTTCCATTCAGATATACACATAAAGTATAGAAAAACAATAACACGAATCCATACGATAGTCAGAATCAAATGTTACAATAATACAACTGCCATTGAGAAAATATTTTATAAAATATGTACAGTGTAAAAGCAAATCTTTGACTACGTTTCAACAAAATAATCATTAAGAGATACAGTGTTTTTTTAAACTAGATGTGTGACTCTGTGTTTTTTGTGTCACCGTTTTATTTTCAGTCATCGTAACATAGTATGCTACATAAAATTTCTTCATATTTCATTGAAGCACAGAATTATCTTTCGATACATGAGATTTAAGTCATTTTTTATGTAGAGTAGATTGTGGTGTTGAAATAACTCAAAGAAAACTCATGGTAGAAAATAAATGTTTTGTTATAACTTTGTTTATTTGAAATATGACTTTTTGCATATGAACCATGCATGCAAGTAAAATCCGTTCACTATACGGAATAGTGTCAGCATGAGTGCCTCGCTCGTTTATATATTCTGGTGAATAACTTAATTTTCGTTGATCGAAATCATTATTGATGAGCTGTGTTCATTTGTAGAATTCATTCAAAACTCACTAGTTGATCGAACGATGACGACCCAGCCAAAATTTGCAACGGCAAAATGGCATTAAAATGATCGAAAATTTACATCATTAAAATGGCAAAAAACTGTCACAAGCAACCCTGTGAAATGCTTTCTTGATAATGCATTAAAATGATTAATTTAATGAAGATAAAATGACTCAACGTTTACAAAAAATAATGTATAGAAGTTAAACCATTTTAACCATTACAGAATGTCCCAAAAGTCACTTTACACTTAATATTGTATTTAACATATATCTTCAATATGAAGATCGTAAATCTTATTCATATATATACTTGTACTCAGGAGTAAGATACATATAACCACTAATATTCTTGCTTCGACAGCAATAATTTCTTGAATAAAAATACAAATATATCTTATGTACTTGTGTATGATTGTAACAAAATTTAGTGGTTATGCTGATTCACTAAACTTTCTAGTTGAGAACTGTTAGGATACTATGTAGTCCGAGAGAACGAGACAAGATATTGCATAAGAACGCGCTTGATATTCTGCTTTAATACTGAGAAGTTTCGTTGGAAATGACCTCATTGTATCCTAACAGTTCTCAACTAGAAAGTTTAGTGAATCAGCATAACAACAAAATTTTGTTACAATCATACAGAAGTAAATAAGATATATTCGTATTTTTATTCAAGAAATTATTGCTGTCGAAAGCAAGAATATTAGTGGTTATATGTATCTTACTCCTGAGCACAAGTATATATATGAGTAAGATTTAAGATCTTCATATTGAAGGTATATGTTAAATACAATATTAAGCGTAAAGTGACTTTTGGGACACCCTGTACATAGATAAAGAAATGTTTTAAACGAAACTATAAAGACTCTATTTTGGAATTAAGAAACTAGAATATGGTGCAAGAAGTTATGCGATTGTGTTGGATCGAGAAGGTGAAAATTCTTTGAAATACTTTAAATCATAAAGAATAGTATATTCTCATCTAAATAAACGACGCGTGCAGGTTTTTTCAATTTAATTGAAACAACATTGTCAGTTAGATCTAATGTTTATATCACATATATGAACGTGAAGATACTTAATGTATATCGAAATGTCAGTAATTGACTACAGTAGTCGTCTAAAAAAGGAGAAATATCTCATGAAATATTTCATCAGCGAACGAATGATTAATCTATGTACGAAGTTTTCTAAATATTCAACTCGTCTTTTCATTTATTCTCTTCTTCGTACGAGAGATATCGTACATATTTTACTCAGTATAATCATCTGTATAATGACTATTCATATACTTTTTCACTTATATCAACCGCTCATGTACGTTACTCGTCAACAGGCAGAATTTTATTCAAATAGACTTAAAACATGTCTTCCTGTTTTATTCAAAACAGGATATGAAACAGATATCTTTGTTTTGTAGCAAACTGCTATAATTTATCATTGACGTCTCCGGGGTGTTAGATATTATTAGTCGTCAACTCAAAATTTAATTACAATATCTAATACTCAATATGGTTTCGAATAAATTGAAAAAACCTGGTGTCATGCTCATTTAAGTCAGAAACATATGAGAGAAGTAGACCGTACTGGTAAATTACACAAATAATTTATTTGAATGAAAAATTCTCAAACATGTAGATTGCTCGAAATCAGAGGATCGTTCTTTTTATTACTATTATTTCGTTTATAGTGTAAAATGTTTTGAGGGTATTATATAAAGAGACGACTAGCATGCTACAACCAGACCATTCATGTTTCGAATGAATCGAATTTAGGTTCTTCTTTCCTTTTCTATCAGTGTTCTTTTCTTTGTTCCAAGACAAAAACGACCATTGACCAATAGGAATAAACCAATCAGATAATTTAGACATTGAGCAACAGAACATTAAAACAGAAAAGAAAAGAAAAAATAATATTCAAGTAGTCGCGCAAGTATAAATATAAATAGATATATTAATAATTGCATATATGAAGACGATGATAAAAATGCAATTATCTCAAACTGAAAATTTATTCGAAATAAAAACTATAAATGTTGTGCTTCATTCATAAAATAAAATGTAAAAGACTAAAACTCCCGATTATTCGTTCATTAATGGGATATGCCTTGCTCTTAAACCATTGTTTCGAAGAAATTGTGACATGAAACTTGAGAACAGCTTAATGAAAAAAATGACAGTTAAATTGAAATGCTAATCTAACAACTGATAATGCATTTCTTTATGAAAAATTATAAGTGAGCATAGACATTTAGGTCAGTTGATCATTTTACGTAGATGCACGTACATAAGTCAACTCATACATGTAAAACCGCTGTTTATCTATACTACTGTTCTCTCCTTCGCAACAATATAAATATTAAAGGAGAAAAATTAGTGTGATACAAAAGATATTAAACATGTCCAATTAAATACTCGATACGTTTAAATATGTGTGAAAAAAATTGCAACACACGTTTATCTTTGCTGTTCTTCTTATATTTTCATGTAGGTTGTTGAAGATCTATCTTTTTCTATATTAATTTGAGCATAGATATTTCTGCAAATATGGAAAAGTAAACACGACTATGATAAACAACAATACCTTTTCTACTTAAAAAGAAAGTAGCATAGAAGAAGAGAACACTATACGTTAGTCATAGCTAATTGTATCCATTACTACTGTATAAAGCTGTGTTATACTATTCTGAAAAATAACATCACAGTGTATAGCAATTATCTAAGTGGTCAATATAGAGATGTATTTTTAGAAGGATCCAGAGTAAGATAAACTCTCTTAGTAAAAAAATTAGGCAAAAAGTCAATCATGTCAACAGGTTTTCATAGATATTCTAAGGCGTTCGTTATCATCAAGAGTATTCCTGTAAAAAATTGAGAATGCTTCATTAACAAAGTATCATTAGAGAAAACAAATTTTGTATAAATATTTATAAATTGTCAGACTAATGCGTCATGAATTGAATATATTGTTTCGTCACAAAGGTGTTGTCAAATAAAAAATAACTATGTCTATTCTGATTTTTCTGACTATTTTAATATAACAAATAAACTCAATAAGAATAATAATAGTGATCATGACTTAATTTGAATCGAAAGCAATAACTTTTAGCTTTATTTCTTGTAATGTGTTTCATATAGATGAATTACAATTGTGTTTTCAAACTAACAATTCAGCTTCATTCAAATTAGAAGTCTAATTTTATTTACGTGCGGTTTTAGAATATGATCGAAATTCTGATTTTGTTCGAATATAGAGAAGACGTAAATTCTTAATCTTTTATAGTATACCTTTGATGACTTCATTTACCTCAATGCTTTAGAATTGTTTTCGTTCTTTACGAGTCAGAAAAAACAGTGCTATGCCAGTTGCCTATGATATACCGTGCATTTGATGAACAAAAATAAGATCCCCGGTCTTTAGAAAAAGCGAATGCTATTTTTAACTACGAGCATTCGATCTCCAACAAAAAAATTTTAAATTCAGTGGTATTATGAAGAGTACGATTTTTCCTAATTCGACGCTTTTCAATTCATTATTAAAAACCATGAAAAAACTAACTATTTCTAACTACTTCTATGTTTGACTTCATAAGGATCGGAAATTCCTCTTGACTTT